TATTTATATATACAAAATAGGATAGATATACAACTACTTTCACTTAATTGAATGAGAAGAAAGAGGTGTACTAATAGTGTTTGGACAGGATATCCTGTCTGCTTCTTGTACTATGGATTACCACTAAGAACATAACAATGTATAATGTATTGATTATCGAAACTGTCCTATTAATCAGCTTTGAAACTGTGTCATTCATATTTCTCAATAAAATTAAAATTAAAAAAGAAGAAAAATAAGGAATCTGAACTACATAAATAAGAAAACTATAAAATAAGAATAAAAAACACATTCCAACCGTAGTAACAGTAGAGTAAGGCAAAGGATGTATAGATCGTGTGTGTGTGTGTGTGTGTGTGTGTGTGTGTGTGTGTGTTGCTAGGGACTGAATGACGCTTCTTTATTACTCATAGTCACCAGTTCATAATCTTTAATAACTCAAGGCCTTAGCTTGATGGTAGGTTTCACCAATACTGTGAAGATAATTCTGACAAGGGCATAAAATCAGGCAGATGATTTGATTTTAACCATACATTTTTAAAAAAATTCTTCAAACTTAGGTTGATTTGAAAGCCAAGCATCTGAGCAGCACAAAACATTCCAATATAGAGGCTAAGATTGAAAAGCTCATACCATTTTCCTGCCTCAGCCTCCCAAGTGCTGGGAGCACAGGTGTGCGCCACTATGCCCAGCTTCCTTCTTTTCTGAGTTTTAAAACATTTTTTCTTGAATATCATATTATTTCTTTTTAAATGAAACAAACTGCTATTATTGTTACTCATGTGAGAAATTTTTAAATATTAGCATAGTGACAAGTTAATAGATATGCTATTTAAAATTTAATTTACTTTCTACAGCAACTCTAGAAGATACACACATAAATCTGTAAACAAGTTATTTCAAACTACTGTATTTACATCCCTAAAAAATATAATTCAGACTGGCCTCATCTCAGTATGAATTACTGATATGTTACTGCAGATACAGGATTACCTACTTTTCTCATTTCTAAGACAAAATACCCAACACCCAGAGTTAGAGGAAAGGTGATGGGGCATAACTCAGCAGCACAAGCGCCTGGCGAGCACAAGGTCGAGTTTGATCCCAAATACTAA